ATCCCTCATTGAATGGCGACTGGGGGATATCGTGCAAGCAGAAACACCCACAAAAAAGACAAAGACGAAGAGGTAATGGTGATCAACAGATGGCCAGAATAAGAACAACATTCAGTCTCCTGTTTGCCAAACACCTGGCAGAAACAATTACAGGGTTAACCAAACAACATTGCTATGGATGTCAAAACGATCATCTCAGTCCAATTCAAAACGAGCAATACCTAATGATGGGTCAAGAAGAAAAACTGGACAGGTGTCTGGATGACGCTTGGGGTCTCATCTCGGAAGAAGCAGTATTACATCAATGGTATAAAGACTTATCATGATCATTCCTCTCCTTCATTGACTCCTCTAGTGATCCATCGTATCGAGTACAGAGAAAATGTCAGGATTGAACTGATGACTTATCATTCCCCGTGGAACAAGAAAACAAAAATGGATACATGGTACTTTATTGCCTTTTGAAAAACAGTTTATACTTTCGTAACCCCTAAGGAACTATCACCAGGCTCGGCAGAGAATTGAGAGCGATTAAATAAAGTTGTAATAACTTTACAGCTTCAAAAGAAATCATACAAGCATGAAAAGAGGTGGACGATGGAAATACGTTGTGAGGAGATAGGCTATCGGCGGAATTTTTCCCAAAGTTCTAAATACAGAAATACCCATACAGGAGTTAGAGAATATTTATTTACATGGATTGTGGAAATTAACAAAAAAAATGAATGGTTACAAAAAGAATAAAAACTTTATATATATATATATATATATATATATATATATATATATATATATATATATATATATATATATATATATATTGAAAGAAAAAATAATAGTTATAGATATAGAAAGAAAAAATATCTATAGATAGAGAAAGAAAAAATATCTATAAAAAATATTTATAGATAAAGGAAGAAAAAAATGTAGACCAGTTTTTTTTATTAAGTACCGATTATGATATATCAAGCAAAATACTAGCGAAAAAGAGTTTTAAGAAAAAATATTAAATAATAATTGACATAACCACTGACTGGAGAGGAAGAAAGAATTATTGAAAATAATAATAATAATAATAATAATAATAATAATAATAATAATAATAATAATAATAATAATAATAATAATAATAATAATAATAATAATAATAATATACGAGCTACAAACCATGACAGATTTCATGCAAAGTAACGGCAAGCATGGAGCAGTAATACCATACAATCAACATCATGCTTCTGACAACAATATTATAGAACACCATCATGCTTCTGACAACATTACTATACAATCAACATCATGCTTCTGACAACACTACTATACAATCAACATCATGCTTCTGACAACAATACTATATAATCAACAACATCATGCTTCTGACAATACTATGATACAATCAACACCATCATGCTTCTGACAACACTACTATACAATCAACAACATCATGCTACTGACAACACTACTATACAATCAACAACATCATGCTTCTGACAGGACAGAACAAAATTATTTAGGAACTATTTTAAATATTAGTGGATTCTGATTTCTACAAATAAATCAAATTATTGTCTAAACATATAACTTCATCGGTACCTGTAATGAAGCAGAAACAATCTAATATAGAGAAATCGGTGAGACTAGGGTGTTCACTGTCAATGTTATAATGCTATAAAATCGAAGCTTTATGCATAAGGACAAATAATAATAATAATAATAATAATAATAATAATAATAATAATAATAATAATAATAATAATAATAATAATAATAATAATAATAATAATAAAAATTAATAATAATAATAATAATAATAATAATAATAATAATAATAATAATAATAATAATAATAAACGGCTATCAATGTTAAATTTAAATAAAGAAATATAATGTTACAGCACTTAAATGACTGCACAAATGTGATAAAAGATGGTTATTTCTTTAAACATTTAGAACAAAATTATGATGTTTGGAAAGAGAGTGGTCAACAAAGAAAAAGCAAATATCATTAATTGGCAATTGAAGTAGGAACCATTACAGTTTACCACGCAAACGTATAACAAACGAGCAAAATTTTTGTAAATAAGTTGTGTAGAAAACCAACTTTAAACTAATTTTAAAAATACAGAATAGCACAAATATATATTCTTAATCTAAATTAAAACCGACTGAAAGAATACAGGTCTCCCAGACATGAATATCCAGCAGAATTTGGCTTGTCACATACAATCGACCTTGATGATAACATGCTGGGCAAGATTTATATTTTAAAATTAATTTTAAAAAGAAACAAACTTGGGGAGAGTGAAAATGCAATATCTCTCAAGGGATAATTTGTAAAAATAAAAAATAATGAAAGAATCCCAACCCTTTGATTAAAAAGGAAACACACATAGTAAACAGAAAAAGAAATCTGACAAAGAAAAAAATAACTGCCTTTGAGCATAAAAGTATATAAATTGGTTTGGTTAGTTTTAAATTATGTTCGGGAAATATATAGAAATAACAGACTTGTGAAACTAGCAGGTAACATAATCTTAAAGGAAACTGAGAAACATAAACAATATGTCAAAGAATTGGGTACGTACCAAATTTGGAAGGAATCGTATGTGCATGATTTGGATTTGTAACGATCTAGACATATCATCCTGACATCAGGCGGGCTAGTCCTTACACTAACTTCCTAACGCTGAGCGCCATACCAGGCAGCTGTCGGTACCATTCTTATAAGTCTTTGGTATGATTCGGCTGTGGTTCAAACCCCACGACTTTCTACGTCCGAGGCGGACGTCCTAACCACATAGCCACCTGAGCAGTCACATCCAAACAAAATCTCTAAATTTAGAAAGAACTATTCGTCTCCACACCCAACCGAAAAACATGTTATTGTTGTCTGACCCCAGTTCATTATAATTTGAATTCATGGACCACAGACAGTAGAATATGGCTATGAAGGGGAGCGTTATCGAAAATAAAGAGAAGCTATTCATCAGTAACATTCCTGTAATCAGAGAGCAGCTAACCTGCCGTTACCATATCTCTTATTGCCCAATGCTCAAGGAACTAAACATTCAAAATCAATGTCTTAAAACAAACATTTCTGATCACAAAGAGATTTCACGTGCTGTAGTAATTATCTAACCCCAGCTCACTATGGTCCACTCTTGCTTAAACAAAGTCTATTATGATATATCCTTACACATGTTTTGTGAGATATTGTACGAATTTCCTCAGATGAGCGAATGCTGATCTCTCTCAGAAGTACATAACATCTGTAAACCGACCTCAAAGATAAGAGGTTTAGGATTATCAAACCCATCAATGTCGGTAAATACAGTCAACTATTTGTTATGTCATCACTGCTTGTCTCCCCTTCGCTGGTAGGTTGTTATTGTTGTTGTTGTTGTTGTTGTTGGGCTTAACACCATTTTTTAGCACAAGATAGGCTATTCATGGCGGCCAGTATTAATGGTGGAGGAAGAAACCGGGAAATCACCGGAAAGAACCACCGACCCACGAGAAGCTACTGGCAAGCTTTCTCACATATCCACATTCGCCGAATTCTAGACTCGAACCCACGCAGACAGAGGTGAGATGGCAGTGATCCGTAACGGACAGCGCTTTAGACAACTCGGCCACTCGGGGCCCCTCGCTGGTAGGTAAGTTGCAAATGAAGTTACTACGCGTAGTGGTTAAGGCACCTCTGCAATCAAACCATCTGCGTATTATGATGTTTGTGTTTTTTAGCATCATCATAGTCTTTACTAAACGTAACCGACACAACTGAAGACTGTTGCTAGAAGTGACGTCACTAGGGTTGGTACGTGTCACTCAGTGAGGTAACTCATCGTGTTACCCCCATGGACCTCCTTGCTACACAAACATTCAAAACTTAATATAGACAGTCATTTTGGTGTCACCCCCACTGATGGTGTCACCCAATGCGGTCCGCACCCTACCCGACCTCCGCACCCATCTAGTTACGTCAATGGTTGCTAGTCGTGCCGGGTAGCTAAAGATCTTTTTTTGAGAATGTTTTGCGAGTCGTCCCGTTAATTTGGAAGCCTTTTCCATTTTCTTATGCCTACGAGATACCATAAACCTCGAGAAAATATTGTAAGATTTCCCACTTCGAACCATTCTGGATGTAGTTTTGACAGCCCATAATGCAGCCGCTCATGAAATTAAAGTCACTCATATGCGCTTGAAAAGACCGAGGAAACGTAATAATTCGAATGGAGGTCACGAAACATCAAGTGAAATTGGGACTGCATTTGCAAAGTTAGAGCTATTATGCAAACCTTGTTGTTGATTGGTTCAATAGTTTGATAAGGTCATAACATGGCACTGAGTTATTTACAATAACACGATTTAATTGTTCGAGAGAGTTCGAGAGAGAGTTCGAGAGAGAGAGAGAGAGAGTTCGAGAGAGAGAGTTCGAGAGAGAGAGAGAGAGAGACTTTTTAACGAAGCTTCAACAATTTTTTCAGTCATATCGCTACGTCTGCAGTGTGGCAGTTTATAGTGAGGTATATCACTGTAACATCAATACAAACATGTCATGTGATTTTGATTTTTAACGTAGTTTTAACAATTTCTCAGTCAAATCGCTACGATGTATGCAGTGTGACAGTTTATAGTGATGCCTAGCACTGGGGCATCATGCCGCAGACATGTAGCATGATGCCCACCCAGTCACATTATCCTGACACAACGCCGACCAGTCCTAACACTAACCTCTTAATGCTGAGCGTCAAGCGAGGAAGCTGTTAGTACTATTTTTGTAAGTCTTTGGTATGACTCGACCTGGGATCGAACCCACGACCTCCCGCATCTGAGGCTGACGCTCTAACCACTAGGCCGCCAGAGCGGTGTAAATACAGACATGTAGCATCATGTCATACCTAGTCGCATTATCCTAACACCAGGCTGACCAGTCATAACACTAACCGCTTAACACTGAGCGCCTAGCCAGGCAGCTGCTAATACCATTTAAGTCTTTTGTATGACTCGGTCGGAGTTCGAACCCACGACCTCCTGCATCCGAGGCGGGCGCTCTAACCAATTAGGCCACCTGAGCGGTCTTGAAAGACTTAAATATATAAATAATTATATTGGATTATGTGAAACTCTCAAGGACTTTAGTCATATTCTCCTTTCACTGCTAACATTTAATATAAAACATCTGGATTTAGAACTGTGAATATTCAATGAAGCTACCACGTTATTTTATTTAAATAATAATTTATATTTGGAAATTTGAATGTTTGTTGGGATTACCCAATCTTGTTAAGTCCCTAGACACAACATCTGGTGTGGAGTCATCTGTCGAAAATTGCTTGTCACCAGGTTTGATTTAATTATGACCAAAACATGGAATACGGGCTCGCATTATCAAGCTCTCGGATTAATTCGATAGAGATCGAGATCAATTCATATTAATGATTTGATCTTGCATCTTATTGTTAATATTTGTTACCACCGTGGAATCTATATTTTTTCAACTTTGATTACACTTGGAATATAACCGTACACGGTCAAAGGATGCCATGAAATATGTCGAGAGCGAAGCATATTTATAAAATGGCTTTACTTATGATTGGGTGAATTTTTGTTTACCACGCTGGGGAATCTATTGCCGATCCGATTTTGTTAAATCCTGATCAATAAGCGTATCTCAAGAAATTACAGGTGTTATCTTCGATGGCTAATTTTCCCATACACCTTGGCGGATCGTTAAAATATTTCAGTGATTCGGGTCTGTGCGTTTCGTTTGATGCAGTGTTAAGCCACCTCATCCAGTCGAGACAAAGATAATCTCAGGCAACTCATATTATTAGAAGAGTTTATAAATTGCGTTTACAGTGACTTTAAGACTTATCTTGTCCAAAAAGAGGTCGAATCTTTAGATAATGCTGCTCGTAAAGCTGATGATTATTCCTGGACTCACAAAGTTTCTTTTTTAGTAAGTCTCCCACATAGTAGTTTAGTGGTAAAAAGCCATTTCGATCTTATGCAAGTACTTTAAAATCGCAAAATGGCACAACTTTTAGGAATCGTGTTTCTGATAAGGCTTATCAGAAATCCTTATCGCTTTCTACATGCATATTTTGCAAGTAGAAAATGCACATTATTTCTGGTTGCTAATGATTGAACAATAAGCACAGAATCAAGACAGACCTATTACAAAAGCTCTTATTTCTAAGATGTCAAGGCCACGATCATTTTATTGAAAGTAATACATTGTTTGGGTCAAACAATACTTCGTCCGATTTTAGTATGAAAAATAATGAACCATTCATGTCGAAAGGTTCTATTACTTATGAAAGATTCTGCCAATACTATCCCTATTACAATTTTAAGGGACACGGGAGCTTCTCGCTTTTTTGATTGACTTTTTTCTGAAAAGTCTAATTGTTATGTGCGTGCATTAATATTCCTCTCCATTGCATAAATTTGTCATCAAACTTAGTCTCATGACGTGTGACAGTCGGAGTTTTAGCGTCTTATCCATTAAGGGTATTCATTTATTACACTGTAGTGACCTAGCTGGAGATATGGGTGTTATTAATCCACTTGTAACTGACAAGCCTTGATTGGATCCGAAAGTAAATCCTATTGAAAATGAGATCCCTGATTTATTTCCAACTTGTGCATTTACTACCACCATGGAGAAGAAAGATCTTAAGAATGGTGATCAGGAAATTATTCCTTTAGCTAACACATTTATTGTCAAAGGATTTTAATGAGGTCACGTTTGATCATGTTATGGATCAATTAAAAGGTTTTGAAAAAACTGATCCTCTTTATACTACTAAATTTGCTTTAGTCTAATCAGGATGACAAATGACAGTTACTCATTTCTTAACATGAATAAAATCATTACATCTCTTGATTGTTTCAGATGACTATTAGCAAAACTGAATCCATAGAAATACCCATTTGGTATTTTGGTTAAATCGGGGTCCTTATAATGAAATGGAGACCACTTGAGATACTTGCTAGTGACAAGTAGTCAGTGAGCTATTAAATTGCTGTTCCTCAGTCACATAGACAAAGAATCCTTATTCTAGCCCATGCAACTAATTTGACTGGTTATTTACGGGTTAAGAAGACTTAACACAAAATCTTGAATCATTTTATGTGCCGTAAAATTTAAAAAGACGTTTGTAAATATTGTAAATCCAATCACACTTGTCGTCAGATGGTTGGAAATCACAATTAGAAGATACATAATGCTAATCTGCATCCTGCATCTGCATTTAGTAGAATTAAATCTGCATTTAGCAGAATAATTGTAGATTTTTTTTCGATCCCTTGCCTAAGATCAGGTTAAAATGAAACTAAGGTATGGCAGAAAAAAATGTAGACGAGTTTTCAGCTTGATAATGGAGTTTGGCTTTCTTGCCCATTCCTCAAAAAGCACTTTAGGCTTAGTATTTTGGCCCTTATAAAGTTAGAAAGTAAGCAAGTGACTTAAATTACAACAATAATATTCATTGGATGTTAATGTTATAGAGGCTTTTTTGATCGAGTTAGCCATGCGGTTAGTTTAGATGTACTTGTTTCACACTGTGAAGTTTTAAGCGATGGTATATAGTGACTTTGGTGTTAACAATCTTCAGAATTCAGAAATATTGAATAATCTATACCAGATACTTTAACATCTACAGCTACCAGAAAAGAGTAAACTAAAGTAGCTATTATTTTATTATTTGAATATTAACACTTGTTTCCATATTTCTTCACAAACAAATATAATTTATATGACGATGAAATTATAAATTACACACCTGTTTGAAATAAAGAAATTCGGTATTTGCTGAAGAATGGTTTCATAGAACCAAGTAAAAGTGACTGCAGTTCATAATGTATTCTTGCGCCGAAATCAGATATTTTTCGCATATGCACTGATTATATAAAAGTTAAGTGTGTGACCAAAACACATTCTTTTCCATTGTCAAGAAACGATAACTGCATTGACAAAATTGGAAACGCAAAATGTCACCAAATCTGACCTTTTGCAAAGATTTTATGAAACTACACTGACGAAAAGGGCAACATAAATTTCGGCCTTCGTAACTCCAGATGGATATTTTTCAACATAAAGCGATGCCGTTTGGAATGAAAGGTTGACCTTGTACTTTTCAACGTTTAATGAATATGGTTACATCCGGTCTAAATAATTTTTATGCTTACATCGATGAGGTCATTATCTACATGGACATCTGAAATGATCACTTGGAGGCACTCCGAAATTTCTCTAATAGAATCGGTGACATAAACCTGACAATTAATTTATCCAAAAGTAAGTTTTGCCGCGCGTGTATTGCACTTCTACGTCATACTGTGAGACACTAAAAAGCCACACCAGTAGAGGTTAATGTCAAGGGTATTCCAAATTCCGTTTGCCTATTAGTAAAGAGCAGCTGATGCAATTGTTGGGTATGGCTGAATATTATCGGACATTTGACTCGAATTTTTCCATAAATGCTGAATCTCTGACAAATTTGCTGAGTAGGAAAACCAAGTTTCATTTGTCGGGAAAAATGTCAAGAGAATTTGACAAGTTATAAGCTTTCATGTTTAAACTTTTCTTTATATGAGGTAAGGTAAAATGTATATTTAATTTGTACTATTTTTTTCTTAATAATTATATATTAGAGATTTGTATCTGGTACTTTACCTTGTCCGAAGGTAAGTTCTCTAGTACCCTGACTAGAGATATTGATTTGTAGACAACATAATGGCATATTTTTGTGTAAGATTTTTGGTTAAATATGCATGGCATTATTATTATAAAAAAAACATGTTAATTTTAATCTGAGTCTACGACGCTGGTATTTCTCATGGAAAACCTGGTCTGCACAATTTTTTCATTGCGACAGATTTTATCTTGTTGACAAGTTAGAAATATTCTTCAAATAATCTTTTGACTCTCATCCTGTTTTTCATTGTGACAGATTTTATTTTGCTGAAAAGTTAGAATTTTCTTCAAATAATCTTTTGATTCTAATTTTGATATAAATTACTTGAGAAATGACTCATTCTTGCATCAACATCTTTAGCAGATTGAGTCACTGTTGTGTTCAGTATTTCATTTGGGTGGAATTATTATTATTATTATTATTATTATTATTATTATTATTATTATTATTATTATTATTATTATTATTAACACATAGTCACAATACAGGCTATTCGAGACTATAGACACATGAAAAGTCTAGCATTGAAATTTGTTTTAAAAACCACTGGAATTCAGTTGGAACTTTATACATTTGGACTTGTGATAAAACTTTAACGGCTTTTTTGGGATTTAGTTAAAATATACTGTAATATTTGAAAAAATTTTACTTTATGTTCCAGGGAAATAAATTATGTTTTGCAATTTAACAAAAACTTGTTGAAGTTCGCTTCTTTCTGTTATTTAAATGTAAGATCATAGAGATGCAGTACATAAAGTCCACGGTTGATTAAGACTATTCGCTAAATCCAGGCATAGTAATAACTTGATCCTAGATCTGACTAGCTAAGCTTGCTACAATACTGGAGTCACGTTTTCACTCTTATTTCGCTCTAGCTTGGCAAAAAAAATGTATATCATTGTCTTCTACGGGTTCTATAACAAGGTCATTGTATTAGACGGGTTCCATAACAAGTTTATATCCTCATTGACCTGGACGGGTTCTATAATACGTGAGCTAGGCGCATACTAATGTGATGATCTAACATCTGACTTGCGGAGTTTGTCCCCTCTATTGATCAATGGACCATACTTCTCAACCAAATTCGTTCTGCACTTCCTTCCCCAATCCCACCCACCCACCCCGCGATTTATATAATAAAAATATGATTACTTTGTTTGTTTAGCATGATGCTTTGCATATTAATTATGCTTTTATCTTTGGAGATAATTTATGTCACACTATAGTAACATTTGTAAAATTTACACGATATTTAGATTGTGAAATAGTTTAGAGAAGCTGTGTTCTTAAAAAAACCTGCTAAGGAAATGGTAAGCTGTTAAGTCATGTAAGCCAAGCGAATGATTAAAAACCCACTTGAGTCTCTTGTTTTTGTA